TCGAGCCGGCGGCGGCAGCTGAACCCATCGCTCCGCCCGGGCTGGGCCTGCCTCGGGGCCCGGGAGGAAGGACATCCTCCCCTGCCCGTGCCCCTGCTTCAAGGTGGGGCTGCACCATTCCCATTTGCTGCAAGTTGGAGTTTTGCTAATGGCTCCAGCAAGTGACATGTAGGGAGGCGTTGGTGCTCTGGAGGTTGAAGGGAGCTTTCGAGAGACCTGGGTCAGTTGAAATCTACCCCCTTTGACAAGCTGCTTCCTGCTGTAGTATCACAGCGTGCCCCTGGTGCAGGTCTGTGGATTGTTCTCGGTTTTACACTCGGACTTTCCACATTGTTGAACAGTGACGTCGAAGAGAAGTTTTCGTTTGTCTGTCTTCTTTTAAGTTGGGTGTTGTCACTCAGGATGCAGATGCACCACACTTTTATCATGGAGTAGTTTCAGTGCCGTAGCAAGGGGGGGTGAGTGCCCAGCATGCGGAAAGGAAGGGGCGCTGAGAGACGCTGCCCAGCTGGGAGGGCATGGGACAGCCACGAGCAGCTCCTTTGGGGGAGGCAGGGGGAGGGCAGCTGCTGCAGCTGTGTGCACTCCCAGACAAGCATGGGGGGGAGGGGGGTGCCCCCCAGATCTGCGCAGGGCGAGGGCAGGCTGCCACTGCGGGCTTTGCCCCTGACGCCAAACTTCGTTGCTATAGCACTGAGTAGATTGACATGACTCTCTTGCGCAGCATGTGCCCACTCTTACTTTTACATCCAGTGTACGCTACTCTGCTCTGGGGGAAAGTTACCCATTGGTACAAGTCAGGAGTTGGCAACCTTTTGCTGGCATGGGCCACTAGTCTTCATCCCCTGAAGTATACAGCTGCCTGCACTCATTCTGACAGCAGATACCCGATCCCTCTGCAGTGAGGGAAGTGCAGACAGGGCAGAGCAGCAGAAGGGGATAGGCAGCATGGGGCACCTCTATGCCACCCATTCACCGGGCTGGTTCTGGCCTGTGGCCATAAGTTGCTGACCTCTGGTTTGAGCTATACTAGTGTAATGGCAGTAAGTCTGGTCTCCTAGTACAGGCGTGTCCAATCTACAGCATGTGTGCCACAAATGACATGGGCAGCGTGTGTATGCATGTGTGTGTAGCAGATCAGGGAGGGAACAGGCAACAGGGCAGGGAGCAGAAAGCAGAACATCTGGTTGGGCAGGGGGAAGGGATCAGAGTGGCACTCAGGAAGGGTTTGGGTGTTGGTCCCCACTATCCTAGTAAATGTCATCACATGGAAGCCTTTTGCTCACTACAAGCTGACTCTCCTGCCACCTAGTTACCAGGTTCTGACCTTGTGCCTCAGTCCTTTAACAGAACTGACTGCAGGTATTTAGCTTGTGAGAGCTGTTTGCATGTCACTTACTGCTATGTAGTATATTTACTATGGAGTAAAATCCTGGATGATTTACTCTGTAATCCACCCAGCCTTCTAAAACATTAGAGCAGGAGTGCTCAATCCCCAGCCCATGGGCCAGATCTGGCCTGCAGAATGGTGTCATCCAGCCTGTGGGGCTCCCCAAGGGTCTGGAAATTTGGCAGAAGAGAAGCAGTTGCTGTATTAATTACTATTACTCTGTTGCCAATTTTTCCAACCCATGGGAAACCCCACAGGCTAATTAACATGGTCCTGCATGCCAGATTGGGATGGCTCATAACCAGATCAGCTAGTATACAGGTCAGATTGTGGGTGGGCAGGTTCACATTAGGTAGTGGGGGGTCAAGATTTGGGTGGTGCATGGCTGAATCTGATAGCACAGTTCTAGACAGGCAGTGCACAGTTAGATCTAGTGGCACAGGTCCAGATTAGGTGGCATGCAGCCAGATTGGGAGGTGCAAGTGTGGATTTGGGGTAGCATGGGTCCAGATTGGATGCTCAACTAAATTGGGTGCCACTGGTCCAGATCAGGGTAATGTGTGGCTGACGTGGGTTCAGATTGGATAGTATGTGGCCAGTTCAGGAAGCATGGGTCCAGATCATGGTAGCACTGGTCTGCACTGGGGCAGCACATGGCTAGATCTGGAGATGTGGGTCCGGATCATGGCAGCATGGGTCCAAATCGGGGCAGCATGTGGCCAGATTGGCTGGCATGGGTCTGGATCGGGGCAGTATGTGGCTGGGTTTGGGAGGCACGGGTCCAGATCGGGGTATGTGGGATCTGGCCCACAGACCAGCCCCATGCCACTGATCTGGCCACCACTACAGGCAGTCCTCGGACTTACGACACAATTGGTTCCTGAAAACCGGGTCTTAAGTTGAAACCTTGTAACTCAGAACCAATTTTCTTATAAGAAACAGTGTTATAAATGGGGGATTGGTTCCTGAACCAAGGCCCGATACCCAATTTTCATCAAAAATACCCCAGAATTTTGTACTCAATCAATTATAGATGAGTAATATAGCTACATTAATATATTTATATTGTAAATAGCAATCATATTGATTTGGAAGGACTTCTGTGAGGTGACTTTGCTGGACTTTTTGAAGGGCTCTTGGTTGTACTTTCTGAAGGGTTCTTGGCTGGTGTCTTCTCAGGAGTCTTGGCTGCAGGTTTTTTTCTGTAGTCTTGTCTGCTTTCTTAAAGAATGTGTCCAAGGAAGTTTGGACAGATGTTCTCCAGGGAGATGAATGACACGGCGAATTTGTTCATTGGCTTGGCATTGCATCGGATCAAGCGTTGTAAGTTGAAACTGGTGTTGTAAAGTTGAAACAGGGTGTCAATTTATAAACGTTGTAAGTATGAAACATTGTAACTCAAAACGTTGTAAGTCGAGGACTGCTTGTATATTAGAGTTTTATTTCATACCTTCAGAAAAAAAATGTCAAGTAGTGTGGTGTTGATTATGTTTAATGTTTGTTTTCCTACTTTACAAACTTATTAAAACTTGGCAATTCAACTACAAATCTGTCCTGATTCTTAACTGTACAGTTGCTATGGTCAACTCTGTAACCCCAAAGAAAAAAGATGGATCTTGGATCTTGGTAGGTTTACTTTCTTCCATTTTCAGCTTCTATAACTTTCGGATTTCATGGCCAAAATCAAGAGTCTATCCCTTCTCAACAAGTCCCCTAGAAAGAGCACTAGGTTGTTAACCATTGGACTGGGTCACTAGTGCCCAAGTTTATGAAGTCAGAAACTAAACTTCCTATAGACCGATTAATCTTTAAAATTAAGGTCATACGTGTTTGCAGGATTTGGACTTTAACCTGGCTGGCACACATTTTTAAAGGTATTTAAGTACTTAAAAACATGTAGGTATGTCTCTGTTCTTTAAGACAGGAGTGCTCAATCTCTGTGCTGCAAGTCAGATCCAGCCTGAGGTATCATGTCTTCTGGCTGGTGGGGCTCTCCTCAGGGCTGGAAATTTGGTAGCGTAAGTGATGGTGCTCCCCCCCTGCTGCCAGTCTGTGGGCCCATGAAGAGCCATGTTGGATCTGGTGACCAATCCCAGCATGTAGGGCCAGGTAGGGGAGCACTGGGTTCCAGGATCTAATCCCAGTGCATGGGTATTGCAAGGGGGTGGTGCTGACCCCCAGGACCTAATCGTAGAGTGTGGGAGGAAGTGGTGCTAGGCCCCTAAGATCCAGTCCAGCCCATGATGGGCCCTGTGCCTCATCTGGCCTGTGGGCTCAAAAGTTTGAGTGCCACTGCTTTAAGTGCCCTAATATACCTTTAAAAATCTAGTCTTGTTGCCTAATTTCCCGTGCCCGTTGTCTAAGTTGTTTATTTATAAACTCTTTGGGAAACAAGACTGTCACCATATGGTAATGTATTGTGCCTGGTATGATAGGGTTTTTTTTACCTTTGACTGGGGAATTTTATCTATTACTACAGCAATTCCCAAAGTCTGACAGACTGAGTACCATCAATTTGAAATGATACAGCTTTAGGTACCACCAGCAAATTTTTCATACATATAGGTAACAGACTATGTATTAAAACAACATCAAAACCTTTAGTAATCATAAAACATTGTTTTATCAGTAATGGTAGCCACATAAAACAGTTGTAAATTGGGGAAAAAAAGGCAGTGTAAATAAATTTACCCATCCAGAGATGCTTTTGGGGATGTCTTTAGTAGGAAGGTATGCAGGGCTGTAGGGGTGTGTGTGGGGTTTGGAGCCTGGGGACAGAGGGGATCCACACACACCCTGGCAGGATGCAGGGTGTGCGGGCCGACTTCCGATCTTGCCTGGGTCGCCATGTGCAAGCTCTCTTTCGATCCCATTTGGGTCGCCATGTGCGAGCCAGGGGCGAGGGGTTGCCAGGTGCGAGCTCTCTTTCGATCCCATTGGGGTCGCTTTGGGGTCGCGGGGGGCGACCGGGGCCTGTCTCTTGTGTGTACACAGGCTGTGGCCGGTAGCCCGGGTACACGGGGTTGGAGAAAACCGCAGTGCGATATGGCACGCTCTAGCTAGAATCAGTCACAGAGGCGTAATGGTTGATTGAAAAGATTATTTACTTACACCCAAGGTGGTCGCGGTGTAGGCTGGTCAGCTTTCCAGGCTCAGCTCCGCTTGAGTTCTCGGTGGAGGACTCTAATAAACTCGGTTCCTTGACCCCGGAGTGATTTAGGCTCCGCGGGGTTCAACAATTCGTTCCCAAGGAGCAGCTGTATCTCTGTGAGTATTACTCTGTTCCCAGGTCCCCCGGAGCTGTTAAACTCCGTGGGCTCGACAATTGGGTCCTTAGGATAAGGATACGTCTGGGCCGCGATCGGCGACGGGAAGAGGCTAGAGGTTAGTTGCCTCGGAGTTGTTAAGGCTCCGAGGGGACGGTAAATAAGTCCCGCAGAGTTGTTGAAGCTCCGTGGGTTCGACAAATTGTTGCCCTCTTAAGGAAAAAGCTGGGTTCGTATGGATCAGCAGCGCTTAGAGATCCTCGCGCTCCTTTCCCGAACTCCACGTGCTTTCTTTCTCTCTCTCCTTCCGATTTGGGCGGAAACCACCCAAGCCTTTTGTACGGCTAGCAAGCCAATAGCTAGCCGCCACGTGTGCTTACATTAAAACTGGCCAATAATGTGGCGCGAATTCTAATACAACTGGCAGTGACTCCTTGCATCGCGCAT